TGAAGAGGGGGAAGAAGGGGGCGACGGAGGAGAGTGGCGAGCTACCTACCTGGCTATGGTTGACACCAACTTCATCACCTTGTTAGGCGCTGCATCTGGAAGGCCGCAGTTGGGGTAGTGCCGCACCAAGAAGCTCGAGCCAGTGTCAGGCATGGCGGTCTGATGAGCGGCGACCATAGCTGCTTTGTGTTGTCCTTTGCACAGGAGGGCAGAGCCCTTAGTAGTCCGCCATAGCCTTGGCATGTGAGAGGAGGAAGAAGGGGGGAAGCCATGGCTATGGTGGACCTGTTGTTGTGCTGGCAGTAAGAGGGAACTTCGGATATTGATTCTGGTTCAACCACTCCTTATTATAATTATTATTGGGAGAAGAATAAGATTGGCGAAGCTAAGGAGGAGGAGGAAGGTGGAGAGAGAAGGGGGATTTGTCATTGGTCTTGCTGGCGTACATTTTCTTCTTCTTCTTCTTCTTCTTCTTCTTCTTCTTCTTCTTCTTTCTCTCTTGTTCTTTGGTCTCTATCTCTTTGCAAGTGCTTTCATTTCTTTTGCAATTGGGTGGCATTGTCTTTCCTTGTGAATTTGCACTTTGAAAATGACCAGGATCGTAACAGTTCATTCATTCATTCTCTCACTTTTGTCTCACTGCTGTTATGTTTAATACTAAACTGATGTAAGGGATGATGATGGGGGGGAAGAGAAGAGGGGAGGAGACATTGATCTAGTCCTGTGTTCTTCTTCTTCTTCTCCTCATTCTCTTTGTTTCTTCCTCTTATTCCACTTCTTCTTTGAACTGTGATAAATGACATTCTCTTAAACCACCAGTACGTTTCCTGGCCATTTTTCTGTGATGCTGCTGCCACTTCACAAAAAGTATATCCAGGCGTAACGGGCCATACATGCAATGCAATTTGCCTGGATGTATTTTTTGTGAACTGGCATGCCAGTCCATCCCGCCATATGCAGCGCACATGCAGTCGTGTCGTAGAAAAATGCTTGGGAAACATACTTCTGGTTTAAACCACCAGTACACGGCCTCAGCCTTGTAGCGAAATAACTTGTCGCCACAAGAAGTAAAAGGCGGGCCCGGGGCAGGGTCGGAGAGTCAGAAGGTTTTTGAATTTTTGGGCCCATGTCAAATCCGCACGTCCCAAAAAACAAAACAAGCTTTGGCCGTGATTGCAGTTGGATACACTTTTTGGAGTACTCCGTGTGAGTCTGCCCTCAGTGATGGCACTTAGGCAGAGCGGAGAACACGGGGAACACGACTGTCATACACAAAAAAAGAACCAAAAAAAAAAAAGCCAACAAAGCTTTGGCCGTGAAAGTGGTTGGATGCATTTCAACGGCGCTAGTGTGAGTATGCCCTCAGCGAGGGTGTTTTGAGCACGAGGAATATGTGCTGCCTTGCTGGCAGGGAAAGGAAGAAAAGAACAAAAGGAGAAAAAAAGAAAAAACAGCAACGTTTCCCTCTCCCTGTAATAGTGGTCAGATGCATTCTGGAAAGTGATCATTTGAGTATGCCTCCATGACGTTCCGACATCATTGATCTCTGGCATGTTTGTTCCTTTCTTTTTTTTGTTTTTTTTTTCCCCTTCAGGTAGACCGCCGGCACCGGTGGCACTTCCAAAATTCCCGTTGAAGGTACCCTCATGCAGAAGGCTCGGAAAATAGCGGCGTGCCGTGGGCAGGTAGCTTCGGGATTTTGGGTGCGGGTGTACTGGTGGTTTAAACTTAAGTTTTGCATCAAGAATTGGGCAGGATTATCAGGATAATAACATTGTGCAATACCTCAATGAAAAATATGCAATAGTCTTGAGCCACACGTCGACACTTGGGTCTAAGGGCCGTAACAGGGGCCAAAGGCCACGCCCAAGTCATAGAAAATTGCCCGATACAAGACCTGCTGCTGTGGGTACCTGAAGCACGGTCTAAACATGGTTCCCAGAGGCCCTGTGTGAGACAGTTGACCGTGGAAAGTCACAGGTCAACAGCAGCTCGGAAATTCAGGCTCGCGAGTCAAAGTCTACACGGTCCCAGCCCAGGCCACAGACCAGACACGCATTTGGTTGTTTGCAGGTATCTGTCAGGGATTCAGTCCAAGTGGGGATCTGCAACTGTATGGAATCCAGGCCGTCGACTACCGGTCAATCTGGGCTGCCGTACCCGCCAGACCAGAGGCTGGACAAGCCGAGTCAACACTATATGTTGACCCAGCCTTGCTGACCATCATTCAGTCTTGCACTTGCTGCTCGTAGCTGGCTGGACGCTAGCTCTATGCTGGCATAACGCTGGCTCGTCACTGGCTCTGCGGGGGGGTTGACATTGGATGACGATGCGAGACTGCTCTGCGTTTACTTGATGCTGGTGCCATCTCTATCTTTGGGGCCAGGCTTCCAGGTGGATCAGAGCCTACGTTGACATGGCGCTGGCCACACCGTCTGCTACCAAGACTATGCTGACGTGGCATTGGCCATACTGTCTACAGCATTGATTGGGGATTGGCGAGAAGGAGGAGGATCAGGGCTGTGAGATTGGTTGATCGAAGGGAAGTTTACCTGTTGATGCTGCTGATCGACTTCACGAGGCATCCGCGCTGACAAGAGCTACAATAAGATCTGCTCTTTGTCAGATTGCGTCAGAGGAGACTGTTTGCTGATGTGGCGAGGGGCAGGGTTGTCGAGGCCCGGTCCGGGGGCCCCGGTGGGGGTGCGGGGTTCCGGGCGTGGGCACCCCCCACCCCCC